ATTGTTTCTAGATTATTGTGTAGAGTGATCAGATGCATTTTAAATAATTGCTAAAAGCTTTATTGGCCAAAAAAAATTTCACTGTTTTTTTTATCCTCACACAAAATGACCAGCTAACATTAATTGACTAATCATATCAGCAGCACATGTGAAAGTGTGAATGAGTACTAGTCAGGTGAAATCACTATCAGACTAATTAGATTAGATTAGTAAGCGCAGACTGATAGAGGGAAGAAGCGCTTCCAATCAGTGTGTTCTTGTTAGCAATGGTTACCTCCAAATAAACACGTGCAGCCATCATTGCTTTGCATCAAAATGGCCTCACATGCAAGGAAATTGCTACAAAGAATACTGCACCTGAAAGAACCATTTACCGGATCATCAAGAACTTCAAGGAGAGAGGTTCGACTGCAGTGAAGAAGTCTTCAGGACGTCCCAGAGTATCCAGCAAGCACCAGGACCGTCTCCTCCTGAGGAGTCAGCTACTCATTGCTTTGCATCAAAATGGCCTCACATGCAAGGAAATTGTTACAAAGAATATTGCACCTGAAAGAACCATTTACCGGATCATCAAGAACTTCAAGGAGAGAGGTTTGACTGGAGTGAAGAGGTCTTCAGGTTGTCCAAGAGTTTCCAGCAAGTGCCAGGACGTCTCCTCCTGAGGAGTCAGCTACGGAATCGTGTCACCAGCAGTGCAGAGCTTGCTCAGGAATGGCAGCAGGTTGGTGTGAGAGCATCTGCACGCACAGTGAGGCCAAGGCCTGGTGTCAAGAAGGGCAGCAAAGAAGCCACTTCTCTCCAAGAAAAACGTCAAGGGAGTGGGCTCTCTCATAATTCTGCCCAAAAACACGGCCATGAATAAAGAATGGTATCAAAGTGTCCTGCAAGAGCGACGACTTCCAACGATCCATGAACAATTTGGTGATGATCCGTGCATTTTCCAGCATGATGGAGCACCATGTCACAAAGCAAGAGTGATTAAAGAAGTGGCTCGAAGATTATTACATTTAAATTTTGGATCCGTCGCCAGGCAACTCCCGGATCTCAATCCCATAGAGAACCTGTGGTCAGTCCTCAAAAGGCGAGTGAACAAGCAGAAGCCGACAAATTGTGATCAACTCTGAGAAATAATAAGGCAAGAAGAGATCGCCATCAGTCAGGATTTGGCCCAGAAGCTAATATCCAGCATGCCAGAGCGAATTGCAGAGGTTATGAAGAACAAGGGTCAACACTGTAAATATTGACTCATATTTTTTGCCAATAAAAGCCTTTAAAACTTATGATATGCTTATCATTGTTTTTCAGTATACCATAGAAACATGTGGAAAAATAATCTACAAATACTGAAGCAGCAAACTTTGCAAAACACAATTTGTCACTGCCAAAACTTTTGGCAACGACTGTACACAATTTGAGTAGCACCTCCTACTGCTGTTATCCACTCACAACTGTGTATACAAAGTATTGTGTATCAGAAATACACACAATTGCATATCAGAAAAATTACAGAAACCTAGCATGAAATGGCACAACATTTGTAAGCTTTATAAGCGTAAGTCTTTGTGACAGAAAGGTCAAACTTTATTCTTGAAACAATTTATAAGAATTTAAAACTTGCTCAAACAACTGCAAGTGTTAATCAGGAAAAACATGTAAATAAAACAATTAATAGCATGATTAATGTTTTCAGAGTGAAATAGCATTTGAACAATTTGTCTCCATGCACAAAATATGAACCTAGGCTGAACATTTTGGCAACTGGCTTTAAGTAATGGTGGTCTCAGTGGGGGAAATCTCCTGTATGACCTGATTTAAAATCTCATCTATGACCTCACAGTCATAATTCACTTGGTCAAGGTCCAGAGCAGGAACAAAAGTGACCAATAAACGGGCAATGCTGTACCTCAGCTCCCTCAACCTGATGACAGAAGTGAGAGAGAGCAGATTTATATATGTGCATCAAAACGTGACTCCTAGGCTACGTTCACACTGCGAGCCTTAGTGCTCAATTCCGATTTTTTTCTCCGATCCGATTTTTTTGTGTAGCTGTTCACATTGTTGTTTTAATTGTGGCCAATATCAGTTTTACAGTGTGAACAGATCATGGTTCTGAACTGACCCGCATGCGCAAAAGAATGATACGAACAGGGTTTCCAGGTTTACACAACAAAATCCGCCCAATTGCTTCTCAAAACTAGTCCAAAGCTAGCACAACCATGTTCAGGCCAGGGGGATAAATATCGTGTTAGTGGGGTCGCGTCGACCCACGAAGTTGAAAAACATCATGCGGCAACAGAGGAAAAGTATCCTAATTCCGCGGGGAATCTGTGGATTGGGCAACACTTGCGCAGCGCGCTGTCATACACGGAGGACATAAAGTAAGCGATTATGTGTTTATTTATAGTGTGATCTGCTGCTGAAACCGGCAAAATTATGTGCAGGCAATATGAAAAATAAAGACAAGGATGTGACAAGACAGCAGAGTTTTTTGAAACTTTTATGATACAAGCCCTCATGTTTTGCTTGTAATTAGCATTGTCACTGTAATACTTATGAATTTTTCTGACACATCACACTTCCACTGATTACTTTTTGCAACTGTCTTGATAACTTTGGATATGTAAAATCTCTGAAGTGTCTCCCGGCAGCACAGAATTATGATGAATGTCGATCTAGAGTGACATAAAAGTCGCATGAATTCCGACATAACTGTTCACACTGCGGTCACATTGCAAAACCTCCAA